TCACCCTTTTCCCCTCATCAATTCTATGATTCACCTCATCTTTCATAGACCCATCCGCTGACACGTCCACTCCCAAATATCTGAATACATTCACCTCCTCCATACTCTCCCCCTCCAATCTGATATCCAATCTTTCGTCACCTAATCCTTTTGTTATCCTCATAACCTTACTCTTTCCTGTATTCACTTTCAATTTTCTTCTTTTGCATACCCTACCAAATTCATCCACCAATCTCTGCAACTTCTCTTCAGAATCTCCCAAGAGCACAGTGTCATCAGCAAAGAGCAACTGTGACAACTCCCACTTTGTGTGATTCTTTATCTTTTAACTCCACGCCTCTTGCCAAGACCCTCGCATTTACTTCTCTTACTACCCCATCTATAAATATATTAAACAACCACGGTGACATCACACATCCTTGTCTAAGGCCTACTTTTACTGGGAAATAATTTCCCTCTTTCCTACATACTCTAACTTGAGCCTCACTATCCTCGTAAAAACTCTTCACTGCTTTCAGTAACCTACCTCCTACACCATACACCTGCAACATCTGCCACATTGCCCCCCCTATCCACCCTGTCATACGCCTTTTCCAAATCCATAAATGCCACAAAGACCTCTTTAGCCTTATCTAAATACTGTTCACTTATGTGTTTCACTGTAAACACCTGGTCCACACACCCCCTACCTTTCCTAAAGCCTCCTTGTTCATCTGCTATCCTATTCTCCGTCTTACTCTTAATTCTTTCAATAATAACTCTACCATACACTTTACCAGGTATACTCAGCAAACTTATCCCCCTATAATTTTTGCACTCTCTTTTGTCCCCTTTGCCTTTATACAAAGGAACTATGCATGCTCTCTGCCAATCCCTAGGTATCTTACCCTCTTCCATACATTTATTAAATAATTGCACCAACCACTCCAAAACTATATCCCCACCTGCTTTTAACATTTCTATCTTTATCCCATCAATCCCGGCTTCCTTACCCCCTTTCATTTTACCTACTGCCTCACGAACTTCCCCCACACTCACAACTGGCTTTTCCTCACTCCTACAAGATGTTATTCCTCCTTGCCCTATACACGAAATCACAGTTTCCCTATCTTCATCAACATTTAACAATTCCTCAAAATATTCCCTCCATCTTCCCAATACCTCTAACTCTCCATTTAATAACTCTCCTCTCCTATTTTTAACTGACAAATCCATTTGTTCGCTAGGCTTCCTTAACTTGTTAATCTCACTCCAAAACTTTTTCTTATTTTCAACAAAATTTGTTGATAACATCTCACCCACTCTCTCATTCACTCTCTTTTTACATTGCTTCACCACTCTCTTAACCTCTCTTTTTCTCCATATACTCTTCCCTCCTTGCATCACTTCTACTTTGTAAAAACTTCTCATATGCTAACTTTTTCTCCCTTACTACTCTCTTTACATCATCATTCCACCAATCGCTCCTCTTCCCTCCCGCACCCACCTTCCTGTAACCACAAACTTCTGCTGAACACTCCAACACTGTATTTTTAAACCTACCCCATACCTCTTCGACCCCATTGCCTATGCTCTCATTAGCCCATCTATCCTCCAATACCTGTTTATATCTTACACTAACTGCCTCCTCTTTTAGTTTATAAACATTCACCTCTCTCTTTCCTGATGCTACTATTCTCCTTGTATCCCATCTACCTTTTACTCTCAGTGTAGCTACAACTAAAAAGTGATCTGATATATCTGTGGCCCCTCTATAAACATGTACATCCTGAAGTCTACTCAATAGTCTTTTATCTACCAATACATAATCCAACAAACTACTGTCATAATAATAATATTATCTTTATTTCTACAAGTACATGTACAAGGTATAAAGGCCTAGCTGACATCAACGACATGCTACTATATAGAAAGTACCTTGTTATGCAGAGCATTTGGGGCAAATTAGGTCATTTTTGTGCCCAGGATGCGACCCACACCAGTTGACTAACACCCAGGTACCTATTTTACTGCTAGGTGAACATGGACAGCAGGTGTCTTAAGGAAACACGTCCTAATGTTTCCACCCGTACCGGGAGTCGACCCCCGGATCTCAGGGATGGTAGCTCCAGTTCCTTGGATCAAGTCTTCTTCACCGGAATCACCCTTGAATGCACTCTAGCAAAATAATAATTATTTTATTGTTTTAAAGGCATTATAATCATGAATTATTTCAAAATTTCAGCTTTATTCTTGTAAACTATGGCACTAAGATCCTTACGGGTTTAGTGCCTCCCAAAGGTGAAACTGATAGCATGGTGCTATAATGGAGCAGTTGAAACCAGATTTAAGTATATTTTAGTCTTGGTTACAATAGTAAATTTCCCAACTACTTTCACTTTTCTGCTCGACGGTGAGTACTGCTCAAATATTTTTAACACGTAGCAGCAACCTCCTGCTGCTGCTGCCAGTGGTCAGTGTCAGTGGTGTGTGTGTGTGTGTGTGTGTGTGTGTGTGTGTGTGTGTGTGTGTGTGTGTGTGTGTGTGTGTCTGTGTGTCTGTGTGTCTGTGTCTGTGTGTATCAAACTGGTTAACCAGGTAAGCACCAGATAAGCCTGGTACAAGGCTGGGCTGCAAAAGTAGGAAAGCTCTTGAAACCGGTTACGGATGTCATGGATCAAAGAATCGTTCGGTAATCGCTCCCCACGACCCTGTCTCAGACCAGGCTTCGTATGAAACTCGGGATATTTACTCATATATAGTTTTTAAAAAGTCTGCAACATGCCTGGCATCGCGCTGGCTGTGTGTTCTCGAGGGATTCTCAAAACTGCAGGCTTAAATAGGTACAATAGGTGTGTATTTAGATACAGACAGTGGTAATGTTTAGAGGTGAACCCAAGTGCCTGGAGCTCAGAAACCTGCATAGATAGTGGAAACAGGGACAGGACCAGAGAATCATGGGAAACGAGTACATCATCAGGCACAGTACACCAGACACAACAGTGGGTGATGTGGAGAAAATTCTGAATGAGCTGGATACACCAGAAGCAATGATCTGATTATTACCATTCATTCTTCGAGAGGATGTAGAGGCATCGTCTAAAATAGCCCGTTAAAATCTACAAAATGTCCGTAGATAGGGGGTTAACTGCCAAAAATCTGGAACAGTAAATATAATAAAAAAAATTTATTAAGAAAAGAGACAAACAGGCATCATTAAACGCTGGGGCAATATCAGTACTATGTAAGGTAATGGAGAAGTAATCAGGAGAGTGATGGAACATCCGCAGAGAAGTGGTTTAGAATTGGCAAATTATGTCTTACAAACCTGCTGGATTTTTATGACAAAGTAACAGAAGTGAGGCAGGAGAGGGAGGGATGGATTGATTACATAATCTTTTACCGAGAGAAGGCATTTAATATTACCTCACAAAAGACGGACATAAATCTGAGGAGGTATGTATACAGGGGAATGCACTACAGTAGGTCAAAGGAGTGATTGTCCGAGAGGAGATATCGGAATGGACAAGCAGAACAAGTGGGGGGTTCCACAAACATTAGTATTATGACCGGTACTATTTCAGGTATATGTGAATGATATACTAGAAAAGACAGTCGAATGTTTCCCGTTTGTAGATGTAAAATTAATGAGAAAAATCTGATGAGGACAAGGAAAGGATGCATAAGAACCTGGAGAAACTGCAGTATTGGTCTGACAAGTTGCGACTGAGATCACCCTCAACACATGGAAGGTTATAAAAATTGGAAAGGGGAAGAAGACCGATAACTGCAAATCTCACTCAAGGAGAAATACCTACGGGGTGAGTATCGTAAAGAGCATATCAACCAAATAACCTCTGCAGTAAATGTTCGTTTGACAAATTTAAAATCAGTCATTCACTACGACATATATCAAACCCATCTTGGAGTATACGGCACTAACATGGAACTCTTACCCAATAAAGCAATTTAAAAAAACTGGAAAAAGTAGAGCTTCGCAGCGAGATAATAGTAGAGTTATGGGAATAAACTTTAGTCTCTTGAACCCCTCAAGGAAGGTTCCTTGATGTTGGTGAGGGGCTCTTGATTTAGGGAATTGGATCTGTGCTCCAGTTCCCTGAATTAAGCCTGAATGCCTTCCACATCCCCCCCCCCAGGCGCTGTATAATCCTCCGGGTTTAGCGCTTCCCCCTTGATTATAATAATAATAATAGTCTCTTGAAGAGAGACTAAAGAAAATGAACCTGACGACATTAGAGGATAGAGGAACAAGGGGAAACATGAAAACATAAAAAATACTCATTAGATTTAATGGTGGACGGATTAGACATTTGCGAGAGGCGAGTAACTGGTATGCAAGGGCAAATTTGAAAGTTAGACACAGGTTACAGTTAAGAAATATTTCTTCTGACTAGTGATGGTCAGGAAACTTAGTGACCCTGACAACGTAGTAGTGAAGGCAGGCTCCATACATAGTTTTAAGAATGGGTATGAGAGGGAGCAAAACCAGCATGTGGTAAGTTAAAAGATAAAGGCTTAACCACAAGTAGTTAAGTACACACAGGGCTGAGGAGAAGAGAGAATTACTTAGAATATGATGTGTAACTGGATGTAAAAGTGACACTGTGAGAGAGGTGACGTGTTATAGCTCCAGTAACCCTCGCCAAAACGCGCCGTCACCTCAGCACAAGTCAGGATGTCACCCTTAATCACAGTGTTAGGAAAGTGGGAAGACAGAGAAGCTAGGTAGGTGCAGGAATGGTAATGTGGGTTGCCAACCGCTTTCGCTCCATAATTTTGATTTCATATCTCTGCCTCTATATTTTAAACCTTTTCAATACCAGAGTTTACTCATATCCCGTCTAGCATATTAATTGCAAAACATTTGATATGCGTTATGGGAGGTATATATGGGGTGAGGGAACGTAGTTCTTGGGGTAATGTATATACGAGAGGATTGGTGTTGCCGTCAGTGTGGCGTGCATTAAAATTGTTGTGGAAGGTGCAGGTGAGTAGACTGTGTTAGTGTTGTGTGTGCCGGTGTGTGTGTGTATGTGTGTGTGGTGGGCAGAGCCCTTCCATGACTGCTGGTCTGTGTACACATTTGGTAACTGTATACTTTTGGTTCCTGTGTACCCCTGTAGTAGATGTGCACCTCTCGTGGCTGGTATCACAAGAGTGATGACATGTGTGCCCCTTTGGTGACTTATCACACAAGTGTTGGCTTGTGTACACCTGTCGTGACTGTGTCATCATACGATTCTTAGTTTTGTGCACATTGGGTGGTTTTGGGAATCAAAATACTGTCATTTATACATTGTGGTTTGCTCGGAGTATTATTATTACATTTATGGGAAGTTAAACTCACATAGGTCATGCAGTACCAGAGGAATGATACGTAATTACGTATTATTTAAAGAAGGAGACTAGTTCCATTTCCTTGGATCAGTCCTTCAGCATCAACGATTCAAGTTCTTTTCTAATAGGCTATATAATTTTAACGTTTATAAATAATTTTGTCTAAAGTTATCATACCTATAAAACCTTCATTATTTTTAATTAGTGCTTTTAATACTAATATCATATCTTTAAGCAAGAAAATAAGGAGAGCTAAGGCAAGGTAACCGTTGGAAGCCCAACTTTGTAGGCGTATTTCCGTTGTTCTTTCCGGTCATTTTTTTTCACTAGGATGCTACCCACAACAGTTGACAAAGACACGTACCTATTTACTGCTTGGTGAACAAGATTTCCAGGAGTAAGGAGACTAGCCCATACGTCTCGACCAGCTTTGTAATGGAATCCTAGCTTCTTGTATCATCCATGTCTACTGAGCTCTTCAATTGACAGTGGTGGATATGGACCTTAAGCAATCCCCCTTTTTTTTTTTTCCTTTTCTGCTGTATTTTCTTATTTTCCTTCCCTTTTCTTTTTTCTCTTCATATTGTAGGCATAAACAGGTAGTTACACGTACATATGTATTAAATTACAATTATGTATATTATAAATTAATTGCCAAGGTTACGTCTACCACGACTATTAGTGTCAGGATTTTCTCTTCCTAGGGGGTGACATGATGCTGGGAAGGGCTCTTGAACCAAGGAATTGGAACTACCGTCCCGTCCCTTAAACCTGAATGTACCTCCTCTTCTCTAGGCGTTCTGTGACCCCTTTCCCTACGCGTTCAGCGCTTCCCCATGATTATAATTCACGTGTTTCTCTGATGTAGTTGTGTGATATTGACTCTAGTGCCACCACGTGTTGTAATTCCTTAAAGTGACAGGTGCCAAGGGAGCGAAGGCCACAGATGTTACCTCTGCCTGTAAAAGTGATAAAAACCAGATATTGAAACAGTGAGAAGTGATAAGTGTAAAATGATTCCAGTGTCAGGAGAGGAACAGGCGTGAGAAAAGCAAGTAACACAAGTGCCAGTAATTGTTAAACAGTGCCAGAAGTGAGAAGACTTACGTTACAAGTGATAATGGCGGGGCTAGGCACTAGGTTGGCCGCTCTCGCCACCTACGAGAACTTGGGTCACCAGGAACCCTCACTAGGTACCCTTACAGGCGACGACCCCAGCCCCAGCGAATGCACGGTAGGTGTGTGATAGTAAAGGGAGGGATGGAGGAGGGAAAGGGAAGGAAGGAAGGTGAGGGAGAATTGGAATAAATGGAGGGGAAGGGATGGAGGAAGGTGGAAAATAAGATTTTATTCGGATTGTAAACCCGGAGGGTTAGTAATTTAGGATAATCTAGTTAAAACCACTGGCTTATTTTCGTTGGGGTCTTCCCCAGGATGCGACCCACAGCAGTCGGCTAACACCCAGATGCCTGCTTATTGCCGGGATCGAACCCGCGTCTTTCAAATGCGAGCCGAAGGCGCTACTGCTTGAGCCATAAGTCAATAAAGGAAAAAGTAAATGTATATAGTCTCTCCATTTGTCCTTTATTTAATAAACGAATAAATTGAAATAAAGGTGGATAATAATGAAAGGAAAGAATAAATTAAAGGAATAAATAAAAGATAAATGAAGGAGTGACCAATGGAAGGGAGACGGAAATTAAATAGTTAAGTAGTACAGTGAAATATTTGAGATTGTATACATAACGAGTGGATGTTTACATACAAGATATTTATATATAAAATGCACTCACGTGTAGAATACAACTGTACGTGTACATTATAATGTGCGTGTATGGGATGGATGTGTGTACGTGATAATGCTTACACGTTATGACCGTGTACAGGATGCATCTGTCCCTAAGCTGATCGTTGTACAGGACTCCATTTGAAATAAGTGAAAAGACCTTGATAAGGCAACTTTTAGGAGAGTCATTGGATATTAATAATTTAACGGGGTTGTTAATTGATGCCGGCTATTTTAGCTTGGTATGTGAGTATTTATGTTAAGTGTTCATGTTCGTTGCTTTTAATATTTGCAAATTTTATCCTTTTTTGTATACTTTTCTGGCTGTGAAATCTGAGTGGCCTACACGGCCACTGTGCTTATTAAATTTCACAACTACCTGTTTACCTCATTATTGTTAACACAGTGACTAACATAATTGCAGAGAAAATTATTTTATCTTTTAGGTCTGCTTGATGTATGACTTGCAGGTATGATTAGCACCACAGAGATGTGTTTAAATAAGGTGTTTGTAATTATGTAGTAAGCTGGATAGAGTATTGCAAGACGTATAAATACTAAGACAAGTTTCAGAATAAGCTTTAGCACAATGTTTCGCTCTGTAGAGCTTTGTAAAGCTTTACGCAGAGCGAAATATTATCCCAATATTAATACCTTCTTCAATTTGTCTGTTAAAATAATGGCTACTTTTTGTTTTGCTGATATTCTTATTTTTAAATTTTGTCATAGTTAACGCATGTATACGTTTTTCAGGTAAGTTACATGGGGCGTGCTTGACCAGGTCTAACAGGTAAGTTAAAATAATTTTGGGATTTAATTTTAGAAAGTGTGGTAGTGAAGATTAATGTTGATTACAATGTAGGGAATACATTATTTACTGGCAATATTCAGTCTTCAGACACGCGACGCTGGGTAACCTTACAATAGTGGCGGGTTTGAGCAGCCTGAGTGCGTGACTCAACCGAATAACCCATTTCTCGGCCTAAATAGCAGGGAGATTTCCCCTTTAGTCAAAATGTGAAGCAGCTCATAGCCCATAATTTCGAACAAAATATGGTTTTGAACTTTGAACTGATCAGTGAATTTTCATTATAATGTTGATGTGGTATGTCATACCATCTGTCAGGATAGTAGCAGATTGTTATTGATAATATTAACATTTTTTTAGATACCTGCAACTTTTAATGATGACAAATTAATAATTTTTGCAATTTCTTTTTTAACCGTGAATAAATAAAAATGCTTTCTGTATCCTAGCTCTTTTGCCCACGTCGTAGTCCAGACTTAGAGCAATACTATACATAATTTCTTACGTGGACCAGGAGGCAGATAAGGAAAGTAGGTAGGTAAGGAAGGTCAGTAAAGGGGAAAGAGGAAGGAAAGGAGAGGGGTTAGGGAGGGGTTTTCACGAGTTGTGAGTGGGGGGGGGAAGCTTGCGAATTATTCAGACTAAGCGAGCTGAGGCGTATGGTCACTCTCATTCCTGTTCTTTACATTTCCGTAAATATGTACTAGGGTGCTAGTTGACGTTTGTGATCCATCAAACAATGTAATATGGAGCTGTGCCCACTACGTGTAGCTTAGGGTTGCGGGCTCCGGTCTCAACCGATGGACCCGGGTTCATTCCCAAGCGTATGGGAGCGTATGGGCAAATCTGCTAACCCCTGCTTCCCGTCACGTAAAAGTAAATGGATGTGTTACTCGAATGTTAGTCGACTATTGTAACTCGAAACCCGCGGTTTAGAAGACCTAAGGGCTCAAGGAGGAGTAAGCTACATTGCTTGGCTTTGCTGTGTTACCTGAGTTATTAATCTAGAGTTAATAACACGAAGGAAGCCTGTTGACCTCTCACAGTGGGATACTGTAACACTTGTTCATACATTGATCTAAATTAAAATAATAGATTTTCACTGTTTAATATGCGCATTGTAAATTATTTAAATGTTAACATTAATTCCAACGAATCAAACATAAATGTCTATTTTTTAACGGTTTTCCACCAAGGCAGAGTTAAGTAAACACTTTCACCATTGCTTGCTCTCGAGGTGTCTCCCCACAAGGGCGCAGACATCATGATCTTAATGACTTGAATGATGACCCATCCAACCTCTACCATGACCTCTCGCATGGGTATGAAGACAATATATGTAGAACAAGTTTTAATTGGGGAAACTTCTCTCTTATGTGGTCCTATATAAAACTAGCATGAGCGAAACGTTGTCCAAATCATAGTTCGTGCATTGTTTTCATGCTTATATCGTTGCCATTACATAAGTACAGCCAGAACACGAACATTCGACTTCAAATACTGCAACCACTGTACATACCACTTCCAAAATTATCAGTCTGTCTACTGTTTGTAGACATATCCCTTCGTGGGGCGGGGAGGGAAGATTACTAGTTACTGTTGAAGAGCGCTTTATTCAGAGAATTAAAACTGTAATAATAGTATTATTATTATAATCAAAACTAAGCGCTAAACCCACAAGTGTCATACAGTGCAATAATAGTAATAAGGGAGGAATCGTTGAGACAGCTAATTTAAATGTCGGAGCCAGTTTAAGACCTGGTCACAAGACCTGTCAGCATAAGACAGTTAACTCTTAGAACGCAGGTTAGTTGACCAATGACTCCGTTTCTTAACCCTGTGTGTGGTTTGCTAGAGAAAGACTATAGCAAATCTTTTCTGACCTAATAATACTCTCTATACCATATTTGGCACTATTTACCAGTCAAACCACGCTGTCTGTGGTTTCTCGATATGTCTCCTGTCCCCCTCCCTTATGTATTTAGTAAGTGGAGATCTGGGTTGTGGAAGAAAATAAAAATTTGCGTGATTGGCATTTTGCAGTGGTTTAGGGCTTCTTTTTGATTACAATAATGGCATTTTGCATTTAGTTGCTGTATGGAACTTGGAGTGGGTGGATGCGTGGAGAGAAGCGTGGGAGTAGGAATGGACTAGATTCCGTGGGAGATGTGGGTGTGGCGTGATCGTGGTGGAGGCGTGAGTGTGAGGGTTGTTCTCAAGATTCATAAGGCTAGTTTTTTCACTACGATGAGAAGTAGCAGGTGAGGCTGGGTCACCCGGAGACAGGATCTGGAGAAAGCCAAGCGAGGAGGTCACTGGGAAAGGAACTGGTCTTCTCAAGGACCTGGGTAACTACTTCCAGCTTGCCAGTTCCTCTTCGACCAGCACGACTCTTGGATACCAGAAATGTGAATTATGTTGCAGTACATTTAAGCAATGTTTCTCAGCTTACTATACATTTTAATACTGCTTACATTAGTGTTTTTTCCATACCCTCGACGTTGGGTCCCTTTAATTAACCTGGAGGTGGACTTTGTGGTAGTGGTGCCCAGGGAGAAGGGACGTCGCTTCTGGGGGAGGTGCTCTTTCCGACGGGATGCTTGCCTGACTAACAGCTCAGGGATGTTTCCTTATAACGTTGCAAACCAGCATTGGCTCCTTGTCAGCTTAGCCAGAACCAAAGAAGCATGTTTGGTTCCTATGTAATCGAGGCTCGTGCCTCTAGACATTGGTCTCTTGCTCTACTGTAACTGTGCTACGACAAGGGATGTGTGTGGTTCACATGGGACTAGAAAAGGCTCTGTCCTGATGGGGTGAAGAGCTTGACTTGTGTGAAAGAACGGGTCTGAGGTGGTGGAGGCACTTACACTAGCATATTTTGATTATCAGTTTGTTATAATTCCCGCTAGAATTATATTTTCTCCCAGTAATCCTTTGATTTTTAGTGTCTAGGTGGATACTATTATTGCCAGTGTTTGTTCTCCATATTTTCATTTTTAGTGTAATAAATAATTGTATCCTTTTAACACTTGCTTACAATTTTCCCAAATCTTAATTCCTTGGGATTTTATGTTTTAAATGTTGTGGCTTCACTCAACTAATATTGTATTTATAGGAGTTTTACCAGCCTAGCTTGGCCCACAAAAACGCATTAAAATATTACCTGTGTGTGAGATCGCCGAATAAAAGTAAGGATATTATTAATGCAACTGTAGGTTAAATTTCAACTTGTGGGACATAAATGACACTGTTACATGTGAATACAACTGCGGGCTGTTTGAGGGAAGATTTACATGTGAATACAACTGCAGGTTAGTGGAAGGAGACGGGTGAGGGAGGGAAATGGGTGAGAGACTAGGAGAGCGGAAGTGACTATAGATACCGTTATGAATGAATGGTGAGGCTTTGTGATACTGGCACCATAACTGCGTTGTAAAACTACACCTGACATCACCTGGCTACACCAGTTCCAAGTGGCAAGGAAGGTGAGGCATTAGAGCTTAAAATAAGGTTGCGAACTTGATTCACCCCAACTTGTCGATTTCCCCTCTGTTCCCCACCAGTTTTTCCCTCCAATAGTTTTCGCTCACCCTCTTCCCTCTGCATCAGCTTTCCTTCCCTGCTTCACGATCTCCCCCCC